GTGGGTGAATCACGAGGTCAGGAGTTCAAGACTAGTCTGGCTAACATGGGAAAACCCATCTCTATGAAAAATACAAAAATTAGCTGGGCATAGTGGTGGGTGCCTTCAATTCCAGCTACTCAGGAGGCTGAGGCAGGAGAATTGCTTGAACCCGGGAGGCAGAGGTTGCACTGAACTGAGATCACGCCACTGCACTCCAGTGCCGGCACCAGACTTGGTCTCAAAAAAAAAAAAAAAAAAAAAGCTAAAATCCCAAAATATGCTTGACTCTGTATATTTTAAACTAACAATTCTTTGATTGGTTTTATCTGGGTAAGTACACAAACCTTCACTCCTTTGCTGGTGCAGACCTGAGACGAAGGTGTAAGAAATCAGAGGTAATGTTAAAATTAATTTGCTCCCTCAAAATAATTTTTTATAAGTTACTGTTCACATTCTTTGCTATGTGCTGTCCTTGGGGAAGACAGGGGAACAAAAACAACGTTTATTTAGTTCTCACTGTGCCATACACTTTACCTACTGAAGTTTGTAATGCATTTTTCATCCTTAGCGTCATTTTTTTTTTTTTTTTTTTTTTTTTTTTTTTTGAGACGGAGTCTTGCTCTGTTGCCAGGCTGGAGTGCAGTGGCGCAATCTCGGCTCACTGCAACCTCCGCCTCCCGGGTTCAAGCGATTCTTCTGCCTCAGCCTCCCGAGTATCTGGGACTACAGGCGCGTACCACCACACCCGGCTAATTTTTGTGTTTTTAGTAGGGATGGGGTTTCATCATGGCAAGGATGGTGACGATCTCTTGACCTCGTGATCCGCCCGCCTCCGCCTCCCAAAGTGCTGGGATTACAGGCGTGAACCACTGCGCCCGGCCCCTGTCATTTGGTTTTTGTGCAGCGATTTAGCACCTGGTACAAGGCACAGCCGTGACATCAAAGGAGCCCAAGTTCAAATTCTAGCTCTGAAACTTAATAGCTTTGGGACCTTGGACAAGTTACATAATACCTCGAAGCCTTACTTTATTCATAAGCTGTTGCAAGGAAGAAATAAAACACTACGAGAAAGCATTTAGCACAGGGCTTGACATAAACATTGGCTATGATTGCACCAGGGCCAGGGACAAGGGGAGGTGCGTGAGCCAAAACTTAAGGTGCAATATCTAAGGCAGACTCAGTGATCGGGACAAATATTATTATAATGCAATGTTTAAAAAATCAAAATTGGTCCGGGCATGGTGGCTGATGCCTGTAATCCCAGCACTTTGGGAGGCTAAGGCAGGCAGATCACGAAGTCAGGAGTTCAAGACCAGCCTGACCACTGTGGTGAAACCCTGTTTCTACTAAAAAATACAAAAATTAGCCAGGTGTGGTGGCACGTGCCTTCAATCCCAGCTACTCAGGAGGCTGAGGCAGGAGGTTTGCCTGAACTCAGAAGACGAAGGTTGCAGTGCGCCAAGATCATGCCACTGCACTCGAGCCTGGGTGACAGAGAGAGACTCTGTCTCAAACAAACAAACAAAAATAATTAATGAAATATGAAAATTTTCAATAAGGACAGGGTGAATATTCCTAATCTTTACCTGGCTACAATGTGACTTGCCATGGCACTCTATACCACAACCTCGTGTGACGGATATTGTCATTTCCTTTTTGTTGTTGAGCAGAAGTTCAAGTTGTCTTTTAAATCTGCATATGAGAATAACCGTCCTGCAATGTACTACTTGGCAAAGAAGCCAAAACAAGAGTGTCAGCTTATGTGAGGTTTCATTGTGTAAACTGTGGTGTCATGGCTGGCTAATACAAGGTAGCCTGTGAACGTTTGTGGAACTAGACTGAACTAAGCCGAGGTGTTACCAAAGTGCTGAATAGCCTCAAGACTCTACATAAATATTTTGGCCTATTTTCTTAGAACTGTTGGAAAGAAATTTTTTTTTCAAAATCAATGTGCAATAGAATTTTCCATAATGCTTTTCTTGCCTCTGAACTGGGTTTTGGATAAATCGGTTTCATTATGAGGCTATTTTAGTATTTCTGGCCACAAACTCTTTGTACAAAGACTTCTTTATTTCAAATTTCATTCTGGAAAGTGTTAGTTGAGGGCTTAGTTACAGGCTATGTACCTGCACCCCAAGGCTGGACTTGCCCTGCTATGCACACCTGCACTTATCTAAGTTAAGACATAAGCATTATTAAAAGGATCTTCCCAATGTTTTGTGCTTTCTCTGCTGGTTGTGCCTCAGTTATAGCTACTTTAAAAAAATTATTGGCCAGGTGTGGTGGCTCATGCCTGTAATCCCAGCACTTTGGGAGGATGAGGCGGGCAGATTATGAGGTCGGGAGTTTGAGACCAGCCTGGCCACCATAGCGAAACCCCATCTCTACTAAAAATACAAAATTAGCTGGGCATGGTGGCGCATGCCTGTAATCCCAGCTACTCAGGAGGCTGAGGCAAGCCAGTCACTTGAACCCAGGAGGCGGAAGTTGTGTTGAGCTGAGATCGTGCCACTGCACTCCAGCCTGGGTGACAGAGTGAGACTCCGTCTAAAAAAAAAAAGAAAAAGTAAAAAAAAGAAAACCTTTTTGTGAGATGGATTAGCCACCAGTAAATTCATAAGCAAAACATAATATTTGAGAGAATGAGCCTATACATGAAGAAAAATTATTAGCAAAAACAAAGCCAACTGTAGTTTATTCAAAACATATGAAAAATCTATAATTTCTGTAAATAAAAGCGGGAAAAGGGAATTTTCTTAATTCTATATTACTATTTTCAACAAAGAAAACCAACAAAGAAGAGCCATAGAGTAACTATTGTGTTACCTGCTAATTAACCCAGATTTTTAGTTGGTTATTCACAGAATAATGTCCCAAGGTCTGAACCCCACCTTTGTTCAATGTAAGATTTCTCTTATTTGATGAAACATTTTATTGGATTTTTGAGACAGAGTCTCGCTCTGTTGCCGTGATTCGACCTAGGCTCGCTACACCCTCTGCCTCCCAGGTTTGAGCGATTCTCATGTCTCAGCCTTCGGAGGAGCTGGAACTAGAGGTGTGCACTACCACACCCAGCTAAGTTTTGCATTTTAAATAAAGACAGGTTTCGCCATGTTGGCCAGGCTGGTCTTGAACTCCTGACCTCGTGACCAACTCGTCTTTCAGCCTCCCAAAATGCTGGGATTACAGGCGTGAGCCACTGTGCCCGGCCCACTTCCTGTTTTATAGATGCTCCATTCTGAGGAATATTAGGATCCACTATCATTCTCCTAGGAAGCCAGGAATGGGTGTCTTGAAGCTCTGGCACAAGAAATAGTAGAGAGGGCAGGGGCAGTATTGGGGTGGGCAGGGCAAGAGTAGAGTAATAAGAAGAGGGGAAAACAAGACGGAGGCGATGTCATGTGTCCACCTGAGATGCTCTCCATATGCACCGAAAGGCACCCTGATGGAGACAGACAAGAAACGTTTTGAACCTTTTTTTGGACTCTTAGTGATGATCTCTAGGTTTGAATGGGTACTTTCTGCTAACACATGCGTGCCTTTCCAGACGCTGTGGCAAGTTACAGCCAGAAAGTCACTGGGAAACTGAATGACGGTGTCATCACCACGACATGGTATCTAATTCAGTATGTATTTGCCTAGTTCGTACCATGCACCAGGCAGTGGGAATCTCACCGAGAAAGGAAAGAATAGTCATTGAGCTTTTGCAGCACTCAAGAGATGCTGTGAGATCAGATCTGCACATCACAGGACTCGAGTCCATCACTCTCCTGGTCACAACGGCAGTGTTACTTGTGTCCGTGATCATTCGATGACTCGTTAGGCTCTAAGCTCTGTGACAGCCGAAGGTGATGTCTCTTTTTTTCGTCTTCACCATTGTGTCTCAGAACTGAGCATAGTTTCCAGCACTTGGCAGGCATCCAATAGATACTGTTGGCTGAATGAATGTTAGAGATGCATTTGCGCTTTGTGGAGGATATTAGCCCGTTTTATAGGTGAGGAAACAGTCTCTGAATACCCAAGATCACACACAAATAACAGTCCTTAATACTAACAACCCCTAAAGAATAATCCTGCCGGGGCGAGGATTCCAAAACGACTCCACAGTTCGGGCTCTTCTACCATGTCGGGCTCCTTCCCCTGGGTTGGAAGGGCTCAGGCTAGGGGGAGACAGGCAGGAACCCCGGTGCTGGGTAAGTACCAGCGTCTGCGAAGGAGGCGCGAACAAGACCAGGTGAGGCGGGCAAAGGTCAGGTCCCCCCGCCCCCCAACTCCGCTGAAATCCCTCCCACCGAGAGAAAACACAGTTATGAGTGAATGGGCTTGTGCGCCCTGATGAGAATCCAAAATCGAGAGGAAGGTGGAAAGAGCCAGGACGCGCTGGGAGGGGATGAAGCAGATGGGAGAAGGCAGGGCTGGGAAGAGGAGGGGTGTCGGCGGTTCTTCCTCGCGTCGTGTCTCCTGCGATGAGACACGATCCTGGGTCCCAGCTGCAGGTGTCAAGGCGATTCAGTAAATGACACTTGGCAGCCCCGAAGGGTTTGTTCCCCTACGCAGGCGGGGCGTCACCGTGGCCTGATCAAACACCTTCTTTCCAATCTGGGGTGGGGCGGGGCAGAAACTGTTTTTGTGGGAAAACGGTTTAGTAAATAAGGTCTATTGGGACTCTGGAGAGAATGACAACGCCACCACCATGGCCGTGATCTTCGTCAGGCACCATTTCAGCACCTGTCCAAGTCAGCCCGCCCTACAACAGGATTTATTTTCCAATGAGCGAAATCCCCGCCCGCCAACTCCGAGGCGCTTGGTCGCGAGCTCTGTGGGAAACAGCAGCGACGAGCGGAGGCTATTTTGGGTGTGGGAACGAGGAGGGAGGAGGGGCGGCGCCGCCAGGCTGGGCGCGGGCGCGCGGGGAAAGCCTCCAGCTCGGGCTGCCACGGCAACCGCGTCCAGGCAACGCGCCCGGAAGCGGCTAGGGCGGCGCGCGGCGGCTCGCGCCCCCCGGGAGCCGCGAACCCTGCCGGGCCGCGCGCCGGGCCAGGCGGCAGGCGCGCGCTGATTGGACGGCGCTCCCCGCGGCGCGGGCCCGCAGCCGGGCGCCCCGCTCAGCCAGCGCCAGCGGCCACCGCACCCAGCCGCGCCGGCGAGGACATGTGCAGCCGCGGCGCGCCCGCCCCCCGCGCCGGTGAGTGCCGCGCAGTGGACCCCCCCGGGCCGGGCCTCCTCCGGGGCTGCGCAGCGGGAGCTCCCTGGGACGGCCGGTGACCTTGGGGCAGCCGCTCAGGAGATAGGCGTGGGGGAGAGAGAGCTGCGCGTGGCCCATGCGACATGCTGCGGGCGAGAGGGTTAACTGCATGTGACGCGAAGGGCCGAAGTTGGGCACAGAGCGCAACTGGCGTTGCATTTTCGCGGGGGCTGCATGCTAGCGAACCAACCGACGCCCGGAGGGACTGTCTGGGGGCGCTGGGGTGGTGCACGGATTGCCAGGGGTAAGGGCGAGCCAGCCGACCCACAACTCAGAGTGAGTGACCTTGGGCAGGTTAACCATCTGCTCTTCTGCCCCTTCGCCTTTTCTCATCTTTCGAAGGAGAGGCTGGGGGGTCTCCGCAGTTCCACAGTGCTGTTGTGCCACGCTACTGTGAGCTGAGAAGAAGCCCTAAAGTACGGCTCTGCAGGTCCCTGAGATGCAAGGCTTAACCGTGTGTATTCTACGAGGGGTTTGCATTAATTGGTTCCCAAAGTGGCAAGAAATTTGATCGTTTTATGGAAGACTGTGGAGCAAGCAGTCGGCGGTCCAGAGAGTGGCTTCTTAAGATGCACAGGTTCAAACCTCTTAGATGCCCTAAAGACGTGAACAGAGTCAGGATTAATGCTCTTGGGTTCTTCTTTCCTGTAGTTAATCTAATAGGAAACTTTGTATTTGAACAGGTAAAATCAAAACCCAATCGTGGCAGGCAGCCGCAAATTAAGTGAGTCATTTCTTCAATGTGCACGAGGTGTGTGTGTGTGCGCGCGCGTGTGTGTGTGTGTGTGCGCGTGCGCTCTCGCCCTCGGCTCAAAGTCTGTGTACGCCAGTGTTAGAAATTATTTCATAGGAGTAACCAGAAAGAATGCTAGAATGATTCAAATCCACAAAAGTGCAGCGCTCTCAGAAGCAGGGGCAAACATTTGCAGCTTGCTTTTAAAATAAGAGTTAGGTTTGTAGAGTAAATATATTCTTTATTGAGAACCATCCCCAGATTTGCACATTGTATCTGCCTTCTGGGCCCTGTGAGAGTGTGGTGTGTGTGTGTGTGTGTGTGTGTGTGTGTTGGGGGGGTTCCATGGCACTTCTCCTATTTTTAGCATTGACTGGTATTAAAAAAAGACACTCAGGTCTCCTATATCCCCTGTCTGTAAACTTCCCTCTTCCACGGAGTGGAATGGAGGAAGTACCCTCTCACAGGTACCCCTGGTTGCCCCTTCTCACTTTCTACTTCAAGGCTACCCTTGATATTTATTTGAATGTGATTTCATCAGTGTAAGAAGGTGCATTGGGAAGACACAGTTTCCAATGTTAATGAATAAGCTTCTGTCAGCTTATTTACCTGAGGGCTTAATAACCTTCAATGTGTTACATGTTAGAAATCTGATAGCATACAGACAGAAAAATCCTTAGTGCCCAGGGAATTCAACCACAAAGCCCTACCAACCCTTTAATGACCACACCTCATGGCACTTGGAAGCCTCACTGGTGCAGTATTCAGCCTCCTCTCTCTGCAGGCCACTACGCTGTGTCACTCCGACCTGGCTTTGAATGTCTTGTTTCTTGCATCCTGCAGCCACACTTGCATTTTCGTTTTTTCTGAAGCTGAGCCCACCTTCTGCTCCCCGAGCACCAGAGCCTGAGTGAACAATTTCCCGCAGAGAAGCCTTCTCTAGTGTCCTCTGCCAACTCACCAGAGTAAGGATGCTCTTCCGCTTGCTCCTTAGTGCTGCCTCCACACCAGTGCACTGTCACCAACCAAGTCTCCTCTTGGAAGGTAGTGCTGTCTGCTAATGCCCTCAGCCTGCTTCTTGTCTTCTGGCCCAGTGCTTCCCAAACCTGGGGCCTCCTCAGAATCACCTAGGACATTTTGAAAAACGTTGCTCTTTGTGTAATACTGGGGTTCAGGGTGCCCTCAGCTCCCCTGAGAGGACGTTTCTCCAGGTTCTTGGTCTCCCGCCCTTTCAAGAATGAGAGAGGGGACCATGGTGCAGTGCCCAGTAAATGCTGGACTCAAAAGTGTTTGTAGAAAGTGATTTATTTAGAGAGAGAGAAACAGAAGGAGAGAGAAACAGCTAACTCTCACACTGAGTAAGAGAATCCAGAAAGATGGAATACAGGAGAGAAAAGTAGCTTCCACACTGAGTACAAGGGAATAGAGAGAGAGATGGAGGTTAGGAGGGGAAGACAGGCTTCCACGAGAGAGTGAGGAAGGGGACCCCAGAGGGGAAATCCAGGAGAGAGAAAGATCCAGTCCAGGAACCCAAACACAGAGTCAGAAGGGGTGTGGAAGAAGGGGGCTTTTAACCTGGGAGGAACCCCCACCTTCTCCAAGACCCCAGGCCAATGAAAGGAGTTCCTTAGAACTTCCGCTGGAGTGACTGACTCTCAGTTTCTTCCCGTGCCCACGGAATTCAAACATAGACCCTAAATCTGGATGGAGAGAGATGGGAGCGGGGGCGAGGGGGGCATAGTCTAGGAAGTTCTTGCCCTTAAAACTACGCCTCCTTGTGGACCCGGAAAGAGAACACATTCCCTCATTTGGACTCCCTCAAATATACCGAATTAGAATCATTGGGGGCCGGGGCAATGGTGGGAGGAATAAGACCTAAAAGTCCCTGTTTATTTTATGTATGTATTTATTTATAAAATCCCTATTTTAAAAACAAACCCCAAAAGGTGGAGCAGCAGGAGAGGATAAAGAGAGAGAGAGAGAGAGAGAGAACAACAACTAACTCTGGGCAATTTCTGATGCACACCCAGGTACATCAGTGGAAATCTCTTCATTTGATGCCACAGAAAAGTGATAAGCGAAAAATGTGAGCAACTCTGGGGTTGGTGTTGAAGCTCTCTTAATTCCTTGACCTTGAAGTTCCTCAGCGTCAATTCCTTATGGCCTCAGTTTCCACGTTGCTTCAGCTAAGATCTCTTGGACTTCAGCCTACCCAGTTGTTACCACCCACCGACTGCTCTGGGTTTTAACCATTGCTGCGGACTCTGTCCTGTAATGTCCTTCAGCCCCTCTGTGACTCTGTTTCTCCACTTGGGGTGTGTAGGTTGCTAGCCATTTCTGTTCTGTCTGGAATCCCGGAACCCTTTGTTTCAGTGTGTTGGGGTTCTCATATTCTAGTCCTCAATCCAAAACCACCACCCCCATTATCTGCCTATTCTTCTCCCAGCCTGCCACATTATCCAGGAAGAAGTCACCAAGACCTTTATTTTGAGACTGAGGTTCGCTCTCGGCGCGATCTCGGCTCACCGCAACCTCTGCCTCCTGGGTTCAGGCAATTCTCCTGCCTCGGCCTCCTGAGTAGCTGGGATTACAGGCACGCGTCACCACGCCCAGCTAATTTTTTTGTATTTTTAGTAGAGACGGTGTTTCACCACGTTGACCAGGATGGTCTCGATCTCTTGACCTCGTGATCCACCCGCCTCGGTCTCCCAAAGTGCTGGGATTACAGGCTTGAGCCACCGCGCCCAGCCACCAAGACCTTTTGACAGGTTCCACTGAAAATTCACGCTGGCTCTAATCTCACCAGATAAATTCCCACCTTACCGTCTTCACTGGCCCCAAGCATCTTTTTCTTCCTCTCTTCATCCTTTATTTCCTCTTTCTCAAAGGAAGAAAATGTCTACAAGTCCCTTCCACAGGGTTAATCCGCATGTACTCCACAGTCTTCCTCCCCTGGACCTGATCCTTCCTTCGCCCCTCTTTTGGGGACTGGATGCATTTGTGATTCCCCTTGTCCAATGTCTTTGGTCCTTTCCTACTCTGCCCCAGCCCTCATCCCACCATATAGGTTATGCTTCCCATGAGAGCTATGGTAGGTTAGGGTCCTTGCTCTGTGCAATAGAATTTTCTGTGGTGAGAAAAATATTTTATGTCCTCACTGTCCCTTATGGTAGTCACTATTCACCTGTGGCTATTAAGCACACGAAGTGTGGCTGGTGTGACTGAAGAACCAAGTTTTTCATTTTAGTAGATTCTAAACTAATTTAAGTCCAGGTGAAGTAGTCACATAGGGCCAGTGTCTCCTGGATGGGGCCGCACAATTCCTGAGCCTGCTGCTCTGTCCTCAGTATCTCTTCTTTGTCCACTCACCTATTCTGGTTTCACCCTCATCTTTCTGTTGGAACTGCTTCCTCGAAGGGCTGCGGTGGAGGTGTCCTGGCTGCAGAGCTGAGGCCTTTGCCCTGTCCTTCCACTGCTTGGTCCCTGCCCTGTGCCTCCTGGCAGCAGTCAGCCCTTCGTGCCTCTCTCTCTCCCTGTCTCCATGAGGCTGGCTGTCCAGGCCCACTCGAACCTCATTTGTTTCCTTTTTCTTCCTGGCCTGCAGACACAGGGATGCTGTGAAATCCTGCCCTTGGTCTTTCCTGTCCTTTCCCTCCTCCCTTCTCCCTGCCCCAGCCTCACCTCTGAGCCCGCAGTAGTAGTTAAAGAGCACTGGGTGCCGCCGCCCCCTTGTACTATGTCCTCTAATCCTCACTCCAGCTCTGTGAGGCAGAGACTCTGATGACTCCTGTGTAGGTGCAGAAGTTGAAGTTGAGGGAGGTTTGAATAACTGAAGGCACTGCTTTCAAGGAGCCGGGGTTTGGCCGAGAAAGGGACTCCAGCAGCCTGACCTTAGAGCCCCACTTCTGACCCTGTTTGCTCAGGCCCCCAGCTACCTTCAAATCTGCATTTGGGGCCCTGAGCTCTCTTCCAGATGTCACTCAGAATGTCGTACTCAGAAGCCTGACTGTTTTGTCTCTGTTTCATCCCGGCTTCTGTAATCATTCCCCCGCCTTTTTAAACCTTTTACTTTGAATAATTCAAATTTATAGAAAAGTTGCAATAATTAAAATAATTCCCAGCCTACCTTTCAGCCAGATTCTCCAAATATTAATTTTTACCACGCTTGCTTTCCCTTTCTCTGTCATATTCTCTCTCCTTCTCTCTCTGTGTCTGTGTATCTCTGTGTTATACACACCCATATATACACACACGTTTACATACACACACACATGCATATGTCATTTTCCCTGAACCATTTCAGAGAAAGCTGTAGACATGATAACACCTTTGTCCCCTAAATACTCAAGTGTATATTTCCTTTTAAAAAGGACATTTTCTTGTATAAGTACCAAAATCTGAAAATTAGCATTTAGGACTATTACCTAATCAACAGACTTTATTCAGGTGTCATCTATTGACCTAATGTCCTTCATGGCAAAAGAGGAGAAGAAAGATATTTATTTTTTTGTTGTTTTCTTTTTGAGACAGAGTCTTGCTCTGTTGCCCTGGCTGGAGTGCAGTGGCGCAATCTCTGCTCACTGCAACCTCCGCCTCCCGGGTTCAAGCGATTCTTCTGCCTCAGCCTCCCGAGTAGCTGGGATTACAGGCACCTGCCATCATGCCCGGCTAACTTTTGTAATGTTGTAGAGACAGGGTTTCACCATGTTGGCCGGGCTGGTATTGAACTCCTGAACTCAGGTGATCCACCCGCGTCGGCCTCGCAAAGTGCTGGGATTACAGGCGTGAGCCACCGCACCTGGCCAAAAAGATCTTTACAAAACAGATCTTTTCTGGTCCAGGATCCCGATCTTGTGTTACATTCCTTGTCAGGCCCCTTTCATTTCCTCTAATCTGGGACTGTTTCCCAGACGTTTTGTCTCCATGAACCCTGATGCTTTTGAAGGGTGCCGGCCGGTAGCGTAGTGGAACGCCCTTTAGCTTGTCCTTGT